ACCATATACAATAAGATACATCATATAGGATACGACAAGGTAAATTAGATACACCATATAGGATACACCATGTACAATAAGATACACCATATAGGATACACCATGTACATATATCACCATATATAAGATACCCATATATCACCCCTAATAGAATACAGATGATTATCCGTATTATATTTGCAAAAATAGCCGTATCCCATTCCCTGTTTTCTAGTAGACCCTATTTTTCCAACCATCGTTCTCTTACTCAGTCAAGACGTTCTATTTATTTTTCTAGTTCAAAATGTTTGTTTTAATGGGTGTGTATGAATTGTGATAGCATGTCTTTTTGTATTTTTGTTCCAACTTGTTTCATTTTTTTTCAGTATGTAGAGTTTTTTGTTAGCATCTTCTTTCGTGTGCCATTTCTATCTAAATAAAAAAAATCACCACGATACTAATAAGTATTTTTGGATTTTTATTAGTATGATCTTTCCTAATTAAGAAGGTAAACATCCATTAGGTTCTTTCCTATTATAACTAAACTGAATGATTGTTAATAAACATGATCATTGTTTCGTTTGTTGCTTTAGGAAAATATCAACTTTTTGTAATGATCCCTCTAAATATAAAAAGATAAAATGATGCTAAGACAGGGGTGGTGAGAGTAAAAATGCCAGCTATAAAGTAGTTTAAGAACTTATAATATCATTTGTTTTACAAATCCACATCAACAAACTCTAAACTGATTCAGATACAAAAGTAAAACTCATTTAAACTGATAAAATACATTAAGGTGATTGTATGAATAGCTGTCAAAAGGGTTTCGGTCCAAAATTTAGAGGGGAGAGAGGTCTGAAAAAGAAATGTGCGAATGACATTATTAATAGTGCGAATGGAGCGTTCGGCCTTGTTGTTTTGTTGGGACGTGTAGGGACATGAGAAGCGAGTTATTATACCATTGGATTGAAGGTAAGGGAGAAGAAGATTGTTGTTAAACTCACATCCATTGTCACACTGAAATGTTTGAATGTCAGTTTTGAATTGATTTTTAACATAAATGCGAAAATTGCAAAAAATAATATAAACCTTAGATTTTGCTCATAAAGGAAACATCCACAAGAAATGAGAAAAGTCATCAAGAAACAAAATATAATATTTAAAACAACTCATACTCGTAATAGGCGATGTCCATCAATTAGAATAGATAAGCTCAAACGTTTTTGATGTAGACAAGGTAAATGGAAAACGACAATGATTTCCATTTGACTAGCACGAAAAATTGAAATTTTATTAGATGTACAAGAAATAAAATTACAAGAATGCAGAAATTGGAGAATGGATAAGCACGGATATCCTAGACGATGATGCCATGTGGGAAGAGAGACCTTTGTGAGAGCTTGAGCGAAGAGAGGCAAAGAAAAAGAAGGAAGAGATGGATACAAGTCACCAACACTATCGCATCACTAGAGAAGAAAAGATGACTTAAGATCATTTATAGAAAAACCAAAAGGGTCAAAGGTGAGAGAAACGAAGTTATCAGTTGTAAATTGACATACGGAAATTAATATTTTAACCATACGATTTGAAACAAGAACATTATTTAACACAAATTTATGTTGAGAATAAGGAAGAAAAGAATGACCAATGTGAGAACTGGAATAATTGTATAATTTCCAACTATAATGGATTTAGAGGTACAATGTGTAATGTAACGCCCGCAGATTCGGGCCAGTCAATTAAGATTTATTAAACGTTAAAAATGACTTTTTACAGGAGGTTATTTAGGAAAAATAATCCTAACAAAAGTTATAGTATATATGATAAGGATTCAGTACATATAACAAGAACGTTGAAATCTGACTTCGTATGAGGAAGTTATGCTTCTTCGAAGTTTCACGATTAAACCGGCACGGCTCTGCGTATGGTAAAAAGTGAATTTTTGATAAATTGTTTTTTAGCCTAAGAGGTCTAAACGAAAGACATAGTAGTCGTTAAACCGAGAGTGTGCATATAGAGATCGTCCAAATCGGACTTAATGAGAGGAAGTTATGATTTTTCTAAGATTCAACGTAGCAGTATACAGATCATAAATCGAATTTTAGATCGTTTGATTAATAGCGGAAATAATATAAACAAGAATTGAATATATTGTTAATAGAAACCCAACAATATAAAGACAGTAAAAAACGGACGTCGGACGAGAGAGTTATGAATTTTTAACGGACTTTAAGAGTCTAAGTCTGTTGAAAATATAACTTTAAAAATAAAGTAAAAATTAGTCGATAGAGTCTAAACAAAAGTTGTAGATCTTGTCGATAGCTATGCATGGATATAAAATCCGTCGAAAATAGAGCTCTTATGAAGACGTTATGAGCTTTCTAAGATTTTATAAAAATTCACGCACAATCACTTGCACAGACAAGATGTGTGGCGTGCATAGACAAGATCGCGACCCACATCGACAACCCACGAGATTTCGACACATGGCACCACCCATCGAGCAAAACGTCATCCTGGCTGATCAGATCCGCGGCGCGCAGAGAAGAGGGTGCGTGACGCGAACCCCGAATTAGCCTATATAAACTTCCGATGACAGCTCATTTTTCTCACATCTTTCCTCCGAATCCTATAGAGATCATTTATATTCCTTACTCCCTATACTCCCTAGTTCCCGGTCAATTTTGCGGGGCCCTATGGTTTCAGATAGCCGGAGAATAGAAGCTCCAGGATTGAGATTCTGTCCGCGTAATTTCCCGCTTTTCACTAAATTACTCTGTAAGTTAAGCAGTTATAATTAAAAGTTACACTTATTTTATTCAAGTGTAACTTTTAATTATAGTCATAGTCGTTATTATGAACATATAATTAAGATTTATCAGTGATTCCAAGTCGTTATATTGATTAATCTACTTACGGGGATGATGTCTGGGTTGGATTTAGTGAGGTATTTAAAGTGAGATTTCCAAACAATATACTATGTACATCAAACGGACCCTACCTCCGATATGATCCTACGTGGTTGTCTCTTATCTGCTATAGGTCAGTTGAGGTTGGGACTATTGAGGGATCTCGATTATTAATTAGTCATAAAAAATATTAGACTAAGACTTAGTAATAATGATACTAGATTACGTCAAAGGAAAAGTCGGTTGGTAGAAGTGAAGCGTTGTCCGAGTTTCGAATCATCACTATAACAAGTGAGTGCATAGTTACTTTCACCTTATACATAGATATGAAGTATCTAAATAATTAAGTGCTATATGTGCTTATGTGCAAAAATATCAGTGTTAGATGAAATATTATAAGATTATTTTTATATGATTTACCATATATGTATTTTCTTACCTATAACATATTGGGTAGAAATAGGTATTGAGGGTTGAATAGAATAAAAAGGGAGATAGGTGATGAAAGATGAAAAGAATAATAGGTATTGACTTTAAAGATGACGTCATCTAGCAGAGTATAGATGACAACCACAGACTATTCTAGACAGTCTAGTGGAACGGTAGCAGGCTCGCAACCTGTAGGTGTTGTGAACCATATGTTCACTAGATGTACTCTAAAACCTATTATCATGTATTGTGGGTGGACTCCTTAAACTAATATTGTCAATAAAGAAGATGATCCCTAGGATAAATCCTTAGGAGTAAATATATAAGAAAACCTACTGACAAGCATCAAGGAGGAATCTCTGAACTAGTATTGTCAGCATAGATGATCCTCAGAGTAGATCCTTAAGAATAAAGAAGATAATGGGGATGAGAAATTGGGTTAATTATTTGATAACAAAACATATTAACTATATTAGTGTGGGTTGAAAACCTTATGTGCTCACCAGGTTTTCCAACCTGACCCACTTAGTTTATTGTATCACAAGAATCATATATGATGATATAGGTATCTATCGAGAGATTTAAAGGAGATATAGACTATTGGTATAAAGAGATGTTATAAGTCTTCGTTTATACTTATGTTTCTTGTATTGCCGATGACATCCCGAGTTTTATAAATAAAATACATTTCTTGTAAATGTCTTAATAATATTATTATCATATTTTTTTTGGGACAAATTCCGCAAAGTAAATCTTTTTAAAATGATACTCTGATTTAATAAGCATAAACAAATTGATCTTTTCTGGCCGTTAAAATTTCGATGTCACATGTAAGGGAAGACTTATTTGATGGGTTTTATGTACTATAACATCCCTATGGTGCACATACAACCATAATGCTTTGAATATAAGTTTTCTCTATTTATACATGCAATATTGTTTTTCCTAAGCATGAAGCCTAAACTAGCATACAACTTGATATATGAATCATAATAACTAGTTAGAAGATTACCTCTTGTTGTAGCTTGTTTGTATTTGGCCTTTAAGAGCTTAGCACCCCAAGTGTGATGCCTCAAATGTTTCACAACACACCAAGAACAAAAGGAGGCTTGTGAGAGAGAGAGGCTAGGAAGCACAAATCGGCTAGTATTCTCCTTTTGAATCTATTGGCCGATTTTAGGGAGTTAGGGGTTACTTTTATAGCCTAGAGTTTCATCTATGCAAACCCTAATTCACCATGACTCTTCACATTTCATAGGCCTTTTGGACTAAACCTTCATGGACTCTCATAAAGGTTTAGTCCAACCCTAATCAACATGGATCATTGGTCCAAGCTATAAGTATTACTGATTTACCTAATCAGTCCCCGTAAATTTAATCAGTCTCTTTTGATCACTAAATTAATTTCAAATTAATTCTTGATCAATACTAATTAAATAATGTGATTTCTCAATTAATATATTATA